TGCGGCACATACACACAATGGAATATTATGCTACCTTGAAGAATAACAAGGAAGCTGCAAGCCACTGCATACCATGAATGAACCTTGAGGACATTATGCTGAGTGCAATTAGTCACAAAAGGAGAAATACTGCTTAGGCCTACTAATGTAAAACCAAAACAAAGTACCCACACTAAAAGGGAAAAAAAAGATTTCTTTGTTGGGAGGGCAATACACTGGAAGAGGGAGGGGAATTGAAAACAAGGCAGATGGGAGAACGTTTAGGCATGTTTGCATGGGATAAGTGGAACAGAGGTAAAAAAGAAGAAAGAAAAAAAAGAATCTGCAATATGCAGATGATACAACCTTGCTTGCTGAAAACAAAGATGACTTAAAATACTTATTGATGAAGCACACCTTTTGATATGACTTGCACTCCAATGTAAAGAAAACAAAATCCTCACTACTGGACCAATAAACAACAGCCATATAAATGGAGAAAAAATTGAAGTTATCAAAGACTTCATTTCGCTGTGATCAACCATCAACATTCATAGAAGCAGCAGTCAAGAAATTAAATAGTGTGTGACAGTAGGCAAATCTGCTGCACAAAACTTCTTTCAAGTTTTTAAGAGTAAAGATACCAGTTTGAGGAGTAAGGTGTTCCTGATCCAAGCCATGGTATTTTCAACATCCTCAATTTCATGTGAAATTTGGACAGTGAATAAAAAAGACTGTACAAGGATTTATGAATTTGAGTGATGGTGTTGGAGGAGAATATTAAAAGTACCATAGAATGCCAAAAGAACAAACCAATCTGTGTTGGAAAAAGTGCAGTCAGAACGCTCTTTGGAAGCCAGGATGGCCAGACTTCACCTCTCATTTTTGGACTTATAAACAGGGACCAGTCACTAGAGAAGGATATCATATTTGGTAAAGTGGAGGATTGGGGAAAAAGAGGAAGACCTCCAACGAGATGGATTGTCACAGTGGCAACAGTAGGGGACTCAGACTTAGCAATGGTTGTGAGATTTGTGTGGGCGCTGGCAATGTTTCGTTTTGTTGTGAGTCGGTATGGACTCAGTGGCACCTAATAATAACAACAACATCAAGCGATGTAATTAATATCATACATAGAAAATTTTGTTGAGGATAATTTTTAAAATGATTCCAGGGAAGTGCCATAAATTCAAGCTGTGCTTGGAAGAGGATGGATTTTGACTGAACGCAGGGAATACGATAAAGATGTTTACTTGTGTTTTATTCACTATGTAAAAGCACCCAATTGTGTGGATCAAAACAAATTAGTGTTAACATTGTGAAGACTGAAAATTTCTGAACATTTTATTTTACCTTTGTAGAATCCGTACCAGGATCAAGAGGTAGTGGTTTGAACAGCATAATGGGATAATACTTAATTTAAAACCAGGAAAGTTTACTTGGGAGCAGAGAGACAAGAGTTTACTATCCAGGATATGTGACCAGTTTTGGGTATGCAGGAAGGAGCTGTTTGAAGAAAAATCATCAGAAGTATTAAGAAAAATCACTTTTCCTGAAATTCTTTATCTTTCCCCTTGTGAGCACTGATGGCTTTAAGATCTTCAGCATCTGCTCATAAAAAATAAAAGACCCAGTGCATATTAGTCAATTGTGAACAATGGTCTCATCAAATTGATAGGTTTCAACCTTGGCTGCTTACTAGTATCTCCAGGGGTGTTTGAGAAGTCTTCAGGCTCATCACAGTATTTAGTCTAAATAAATCAGAATCTCTGGTCGTACAACTCGGCATAAATATCTTTAAAGTTATTAGATGATTCAATAATAAAGCCAAGTTTGGAAACTAAAAACAATTATTAAAACACCGAAACTGCATTAGGAGAAAAGATAAACATAGATGTTGTATGGACAATGGGCATGAACTGTGAAAAGGTTGGTAGATTGAATTTTTCTTTTTTAATCAAGTTGTGCTTTACACCAGGATGCCTGTATCATTGATGACAAATACAGAAGGTTTCCTATGTATTTGGAACAAATAGTGAAAAAAGTCTCAATTGGGCATGTATTATGATGTACTACAGATCCCAGACATGCCCCACAAAATGGGTCATATAAGCAATATTCTGAAATGAAACACTGAAGCGAATGAGAGCAACAAAATTATGTGATAAAAGGAGCATGCTTTCCACTTCCACATGTTTGGTTTCCTGCCTGTTTTAATATACAGGTCATTAAAAAAAAAAGAAAGAAGAAAAGATAGCACAGGTATTGGTATTAGGCTGACCTGCTGAAGAGCCTCTGCAGGGCCCTCTTGATATCCTTGTTCCTCAGGCTGTAGATGAAGGGATTCAGCATGGGGGTGACCACGGAGTACATCACCGAGGCTGCTGCACCACTCTTAAGAGAAGATGAGACAGCTGAACTCAGGTACACCCCAATACCTGTTCCATAAAATAAGAAAACAACTGACAAGTGAGAGCCACAGGTGGAAAAGGCTTTATACCTCCCTCCTGATGATGGGATTCTTAGACTGGAGGAAATAATTCGAGTGTAAGAGAAAAAGATCCCTGAGACTGGAACACCACCAAAGATGGCAGCAATGCAATACACTAGTATGTTTTTGGTGGTTGTTTCAGTACAGGCAAGATTAAGGAGTTGAGAAGGGTCACAGTAAAAATGAGGAATTTCCACTTTTGTGCAGAAGGTAAGTAGTGACATTATCAAGTAGTGCAGTTGGGAATACAAAACACTGAGAAAAAAAGACACCAAAATCAGTAAGCCACAAATGTAGCGGTTAATGATGACTGGGTAATGAAGGGGGTGACAGATGGCCACAAATCTATCATAGGCCATCACCGTCAGGAGTAGACTGTCCATACATCCAAAAAACATGAGGAAATACAACTGATTCAGGCAGCCGACATAGGAGATGATTCTGAGGTGTGTGTGGATATTCAAAAGCATCTTTGGGATTGTGGTGGAAATGAAACCAATGTCAGCAAAGGATAGGAACCAAATGAAGAAATACATAGGGGTATGGAGGTGGGGGTCAGAACTGATGGTGAGGATGATGAGCAGGTTTCCAAGCACTGTGACCGTGTACATGGACAGGAACATTCCAAAGAGGAGGGGCTGCAGCTCCGGATCTGCTGAGAGGCCCAGGAGTAGGAATTCAGAGACACGTGTTAGATTATTTGGTTCCACGATGCAGTGACACCTTTGTGATAGTAAAGAAAGGCCCCTAAAAGGAAAAAAGAAAACAGGTTTCCAGCCCTATGTCTATAAAGGGGCTTCAAACAGTTTGTGGAAAAATTACATTCTCCTTACATTCCATTTGTTAATGGACTTTAATAAGGCTCCTTGTCTATTTTGATTCAGGAAATTCACCAGTAAAATATGTACACTTAACCTTAAGATCATATACCATTTTTGGCAAAACTTCTCAAATGTGGCAAAACCATTCTTCCTAGAACATTTTTATCATTGCTTTTTGAGCTTTTCTACAGAAATCCACTTTAAAGACAATCATCTGAAGAAATATGAAGAATGTTAGAGGACCAAAGACATTTACATATAACAAATTCACAAAGACAAAAAAGAATTAACTTAAGAAATACAAGACAATAGATGCATAACAAGTGAAGAGATCAAAGCAATATAAAAAAAGTTTCAAATTTAGAAAAATCCAAGAGCAGATGGCTTAATTAGAAAATTATACCAAACATTTACTGAATTAAATTTAAAATTTTTATTACATAGCACTTATGGTGGTGGTCTTGGTAGTGTGCCATTTATTCGGTTCTGACTCATAGAGACCCTGTATAGAATTTCTAAGGGAGCAGAAAGCCTCAACTTTCATCCATGAAGTGGCTGGTAGATTAGAACTGCTGACCTTGCAGTTAACAGCTTAACTCGTAATCTGCTACATTACCAAGGTTTCTTACATAACTCTTTTTTTTTTCAAAGTTTTTATTGTGAATTATGTGATAGTTTACATGGGAGAACATTAGCTTTACATTCATCCTTTCTTATATGATTTCATTGCCATGGTTACAATCCCCTCCATGCATCATCAAACAAACAAAAGGTATAGCCTGCAAGCCTGCCCCTCAGTTGTCAGCAAGCAGGCCCTCTTCCTCTCTGGATGTAGAGTCCCCAGCTGCTCCATCTCTCCATGTCATCATCTCTGCCTCCATCTCTGGCATCACTGTTTCTCTGAGTAGGGTCTGCTCTCTGCTTTTCTCCCTTGATGGTCCCAGGGATCTCTGTTCCTGGACTGCAAAGTCAGCCACTTCCCTCCTTTTGCTACAAAACCTCTACCTTTACATTTCCAACCCTCACAGTCAGTCCTGAAAGCAATTATTCAGTATTGTACCACATGATTGCTATCCCCATCTCCTTTGATCAGTCCCACCCAGACAGATTAGATACTACTCAGTGGAGATTCTACCTTCCTCCACGCCCTCTGGATCTCCCTCTTGAAAGTTTGTAAGCCAGTCACTTCTTTCCTTGTAGCTTCACCCCCACCCTCATTTTGGGTAGCCAGTTGTCCAAGTTACCCATCCTTGTCTATCCTGTGTACCGAGGGGTGGTAATGATCCTCACTGTAAAGATTTGTTCCCTCTTTTGAGCTAAGACATCCACAGGTGCAGGTCAAATTCATCAAATTGTATCAGATTACTCTTTTTTTTTCCCTTTTGTTTCTTCTTCTAGTCAAGTTCTGATCATCCAGCCATTGAAGTCAGGTCAAGTGGGTATTATCTGTAAGTGTGGATATTCTTGTGCATATCCCCTCACTTCTTATCAGCTGGCTGCTTCTCTCCACTCTAGTCTTCTGTGGTTATGGCACTGTCACTGGACCCAGGTGTCCCCAGTCCTTGCCATACTGCTGGCCAACCAGTTCTTTACCCGGGTTCACAGGAGTCTATTGAATGTGGTTGGATTTAGCTCACAGCTTCTTCTTACATAACTCTTAAAGAGAGTTTAAAACAATCTGAACCAAAAGTTCACACCTTTTGAGATCTTTTCTGATGGGGGATTATAATGCTAAATTGAGATTTCTGAAAGTAACTCATATCTTCAATTTTCTTGGTTGGTAACAATGTGATATAATAGGTGGAAAATGCAAAATGCAAAAATTTAGAGAATAATATCATGAATACCTAAGCAGTTTCCTTATCTTAAAATGGGGGTAATCTAGAACCTTCCTTGTAGGTAGGGTTTTTGTAAGAAATTTAATAATATACATTGAATTATAAGTTGAAAAGAATTGCTACAAATTCATAGAGGCCTTTATTAAATAAAAATGTGAAAATGTGAAGTAATTGTTTCTTGACATCACTTTTCTGTTAGTTTGTCATAATACTCCTTTGGAATCTTGCCAAAACAGTTACCATAGCCATCTGAACTGACCTCTCAGCCCTGAATTTAATTGGTCCAGTAGATCACCTAGGGAGCCACTGCTTTGACAGGTCTTTTTTGAAGGTGCTCTAATGGCACTAAGATAGTGTATTACTGAGAGCTTGTCTGAAGTTGTCTGCTCATCACAGAGACATGTTTAAACATGTTTTGTTTGGAACAAACCTGTGTCTGTGTCTGCAAAAATCCTAATAGCAATACTTTCTGAAAACTCTCATAGGTGAATGAAGGATAGGTTGAGTTGAGACAATGAAGTTGTTCCATTTTACTATGAATTGCCAACATTTGCTCTCTCAGCAGAAAAAGCATTCACATGCTTTTTTCAAGGTATGATAAACAGATCCTATTGAGTTGATTCTGACTCATTGTGATCATACAGGACTGTCCCATAGAGTTTCCAGGGCTTCCAAATCTGCAGAGAAGCAGACTGCCACGTCTTTCTCCTGTGAAGTAGCTGGTAGGTTCAAACAACTGGCCTTTTCATTCGCAGCACAATACATAACCTCTGTAGCTAGTAACAGTCAACTTTCTATGATAGCTCCACATGAAATTCCATCTTTATAGAGAATAACATTTTCAAATCTCAGATTTCTAAAATGAGCATCAAAATGAATTGCTATTCATAAAAAACTCTGTGATGCCCAATATCCATGCCATAAAGGTTCTTGTAAATCATGGCCTCACTCAACTACTTAGAGATGGACTCAATTCTCAAGAGCAGTAATTGATGCTTCTGCCTCTGTTTGCACACTTAAGCCCTATTTTTCTTGTTACTAAGTAGGAGACTTCATTCACAAGGGATCTAGCCAAATTTGTAACCTTCCTTTTCTTTTTTCCTGGTGGCTTCAGGTTTAAAGCTTGTGTTTAAACTACTGAGTTGTATTCATCTCACTAGTTCTCGGGAACATCTCAGGAAGGGAAGAAGCACAGGCATTAAGCACTCAGTGTGTTGATGTCATAGAGTCTAAGTTGTGCTCCTGTTGTTGTTGTTAAGTTCCATCAAGTTATTCTAACTCATAGCAGCACTGTATAGGATTTCATAATGAGCTTCTGGTGGTTTTGAACCACTGACCTTGCGGTTAGCAATCCAACATTTATCCTATAGCACCACACACAAAACATAATCAATGTTTATTTTGGGTCACCTATGGTGCGCCAAACTATGTGTAGGGTTTTGGGATGCAGAAATTAATGAATGAGGCTTGATCTTTTTCCTTTTGAGCATATCACCTAAGGTGACCCTGGAAGATAAATAGCAGGCTGAACTGACAGGCTAGCATTATGGCTCAATT